AGCTGGACATGGGGGGGGGAGGGGGGGCACAGGGTGGCCGCAGCCGGGTGCGGACCAGGTGGGTGGGTTGGCTTGGGGTGGCAGTGCGGGGTGGTGGTGGCAGCCGCCACGTGCGAGCTTCTCCCCCATCCCAGGGCAGTGCCTGTGTGGCCCTCATTGGAGCACCATTGCCCTTGCTTCCTACGCCTTTGCCCCCTCCGGCCCTGCTCCTAAAAAAGATGAGAAAAAGAGCATTCCATCTTTTTACTTTTCTGTAATATATGAAACATCATAACCAGAAGGACAATCTGACTACATCCTGCTTGCCACCAAAGAACTTCAAGGTCAATAGGCTATACTAACTGTTCTCTGAGCCTAACTTGCATAAAATGAACTGTGCCAAACAGGAGATTTTACCACACCTTTAACTCTCCTGTGAAATATGAACTTGCATTTCTACCTAAGATAACTTTTACAATGTTTTCTCTTATGCCTGATGAAGGGTGCCTGTGCCTGAAATCTTGCAATTAAAGATTTTTTTTTTTTTGTGCAAAAATCCAGTTGGTCTAATAAAAGATCTCACCTCTACCACAAGTTCTGATTGTTTTTCCCTCTAGACCAATACGGCTACAACCTGGATATCTGGCTAGAGTATGACTCGTGTGAAGTTCAGGCGATGGAGATACCAGCCAGTATTTATTTCAAATCTTTCCTTGCTCCCCACTGAGCCAGTGTTCTTGTCTGTTCTTGTTGCTCTGTTCACTGTAATCCCTGCTGTACAGAATTGCAAATGATTTCTCTTGATGCTTTAAGCTCTCTGCCATTGTGTAAAGGCAGCAGCAGAGAAGCTGGTGAAAAGGAAATGGTGAATCCCCATTTGCCTATTGATGTGGAGAGGGAAGAAAAACTGGTAGGTGGACAAGCTGAAATGAATGGGAGCTAGTCAGAAAATGAACATTTTGTGTACTGCTAACAGCAATATATTCTGTATTTTAGTTAAACAGCCTTTGTACAATCACATAACTGTGCTGCATGTAGAGCCTTGTTGGTTGTGTGTAATGTTTGTTGAGCATGTATGTGGGACCGTATAAAATATTCTGTCAGGTCTTAATGAAAAGCAAGACCAATAATATAAAGTATTTTTAAACTGAATCATGTTGATCTTTCAGCTTAATAATGTAAACTTTATGGTAGAAGAATTAGAACAGAAAAATAAAAACCACTCTTTCAACCACTGAATTTAAAATGACATGAAGAAGAGGGTATGTAGTATTGAAATCTCACATGAGAGAGAACCGTGAGCAAGGCTCCACAGTAAATCTTTTGACTCTAAGAAGAGACTTTTGCAAGGTCTCTAGTTGTATGAATTTTTTTTTTTTCAAGAAACTGATGGTTCTGCACACAGCCCTTTTCCACTTGGCTCTAGACAGACCAGCATTTGCATTTAATGGAAAATTTTAATAAATAGCAAAATGCTGGTCACCAGCAAGGCTTAGCTTCAGTTTTTATGGTGTATCAAACGGAATGCACTTGAATTGCAACATCAGCTTCCTCCGATATTGCCTAAACTGTAAAAATGAATAGTTTTCAAACAACTAGTTTGTTTTGACTAGTTTTATGTACCTAAAATAGAGGAAAACTATTCATATATATTTTTCCGCTGTGGAACAGCAGTGTTTAGACAAGCTTTATCAGAACAAACAGAAGTTGGGTTCTTTCATAAAAATAAGATGAGCTTTGAATAGCCACTCTGGGTTTGGCTTATATTACTAAACAATTAAAATAATTCAGCTATATGCATCTGTGATGAAGAGTTTTTAAATGTAGCTGTTTCATCTTCAGAGCTAAGCTAAGTACTACTCTTGTGTTTGGAAAATATCAGGTACAATGCACTTAGAGGTTTGGGGTTAGAAGACCTATTCGTTGGTTTAGGTTAAGTTGATTGTTTCTTTTAGAACATAAACCAGAGGCTTCCATGTGTTTTGGCTTTTAAAACCCTATGCTGATTTATTTCACCAGTCAAATCTGAACTAATTTCTTGCCTAGTTAGAGCTTGTTTAGTTAATTTTTATAGGTGCATGTAGCAAAGGAAGCATAATTCATAAATGTTCTTGAAACGCAGGACAATAAATCTCAGGGTAGGGATTAAATAAATGGGTCTGGAGAATGGTTTTGAAAGAATAAAAAGGAGAATGGGGAAAATCATTTTGCTACAAGGAGCAGGTGCAAGAACCATTAGGATTGTCTCTGGAGGATTTGGGCTAATTTTTGCACTCTGCTCTTGCTACCCTGCTTAATGTTTCAATACCCTTTAGCCTTCATTGTGTGTGCATCTGGGGATGCATTGTCGCATATAAAAGGGATAATCCAGCCAGTTCAATAATAACAACCTTTCTCACCCTGAAACAGCAAAGTATCAGATTCTGCAATATGTGAGACAAAAGGTTCCCTGCTACTTTTTGGAATAAAATTACAGTTGTCGTGTCTCTCCTTCATCAATGTGCCTGGCATTTCAGAATGGATAGCTTAGGTTCCTTTTTGTTACTGGAGTAGAAAGAGGGGTCTTTGTTGTCGCTTGCTATTGATATGTCTATTTCTATTTTTCATTCGGTATTTCGCATATCTGATTTATTTAAATGTCCTTATAGGTCTCAGTTTAGTATTTAGTTTTGTTTAAGTTAAACTTCTTCAAGTTTCTCAAATCCCATTTCCAGGAAATCTTGATGAAATAGACACAGACTTTGAAAATATTATTTGCATTAAATTACAGAAAATCGAATGACGAGGTCAAGTAGTTTTATCATGTAAAAGATCTGGCTGGGTTGGGCCATTGGCAAGGTTAGACTGGGCTTGAGAATCCTATTTTTAATGGGCCTTTGTCACCTATTCCACCAGAGATGGTTGCTAATAAAGGGAATAAGAAATGCTGCTCTATGTTTGGTAATAAATTAAAGGCTGTGGAGAGGTCATGTAGCTCTCAGGCCTTTTTGTAAGAACCCAGGCAGCTTGGCAAAGCAAAACATTATGAGACAACTCAACAAGATGCAGGTGATCCACTTATAACACTGTTGCCGAAACACCTTTCCTAACAACTACATCCTTTTATGAGTAAATTAGAATATATGCTACGTGTGTTTCTAGCAATTATAAATGTTAGCATAAATTGCATCAAAGGAGGCATAAATGTATGTCAATACAGAGTACCAGAGATTATTTTACGTGATAAATCTAAGGGATTTCTCCGGATCTAAGCATGGAAAAAAAATCCAAAATCTTCACTTGTTTCCTTTATCAAAAGGGGAACAATGAACAGTTTGTTCAGTTTCTGCATGCTCTTGGGATGCCTTTAGCCATTCTCTGGATAACTATAATGGTGCTTGTGCTGACATAGTTGTCCCATTTTTTAACCAGTTACTTTTCTGTTGCAAAATATACAATACCTGGTAAACCACTTAAAACACATATTTCTACAGCATTGTAAATTGAAATATTTAGTCATTCAATGGTATATTATACAAATTGAAATATTGAGTAATTCAGTGGTATATTTTGCAAAGGGCTACTTTTTCTCTAGTACAGCCAAATAAATGCTTGCTAATATATGGTAAAGAAAGAAGGTTCTAGTCATGTAGCAGCTTAAGCTCTATGATTCATTATTCTATATTTATGTAGAATAATGAATCATTATTCTTTATATTCTAGAACTTGTAATTTATTCATTTATTTATGTTATTTCTTGTGCTCCAGCAGCTTTATAACATGCACGACACTGATCCCAGGGGGAGTTCCCCTGTTTTTCTTCAGCCTCAGAATGGGAGTAGTCACAGGTCTTCCGGCTACGTTCCAGGAAGAATTGTTCCTCTCCGTCCAGCACCACCTCCAAAGAGCCAAGCATCAGCCAAATTTACCTCTGCAAGACAAGAAGCCCATGCAACGCTTGCATCTTTACCGGAGGAGCAGCGCCATCAAGCAGAAGCCAGCAGAAAGAAAAGACATAAAAATACTCTCATATGCTTTGCCATTTCTAGCTTTTCATTTTTTGTTGCACTGGGAATTATCTTGAAAATATCTTCAAAATATGCTCCCGATGGTAAGTTCTTGTGCACATAATGTCACATTAAATGGTTCACTCCCTGTGAATGTAGCTTTCCAAATTTAGCTTTGCTTTTTAATGTTATAAGTTAAGAACCAAATAATATTTTTTACTTCAATATTTATAATTTAATAATACTAGTTAAATAAAATGCCTGAGGGTAGAGAAGCTTAACTGTTTGTAGGATCGCTATGAAATATTGATAGCTTCAGCTGCTTTTATAAATTCAAGGGTAAAGGTCAGGGCATCGGGGACAAAAATAAATAGTAATGAGTTGGGTGGTAAAACTTTGTGTGATGTGCTCTACATTTGAAAAGACTAGCTGATATTTTATACTAATAAATGAAATACTTTCTGTTCCAAAGGTAAGTAAGGAGGAAGTTGCACAGCAAGTAAAGTTTTATATGTATTTAAATGAGCAGGGCAAAATTATTTACACCCAGCTGTTTATAAAGACATTGTCCAATAAGCTCTCTGACTTAACTAATTTTCGAACACTGGTCAAGTTCCAGAGGAACAGGGAAAAAAAGCAAATGTGCCAACATTCAAAAAGAGTAAACAGGATGATCTGGATAACTATAGGCCATTAACTTGACATCACTCTGGCAAAATCTTGGAAAAGCTGATGCAGAATGTAATTGGTGAAGGATGGTAGTAATATGTGAAGAGGAGCAATGTGGTTTTCATGCAAAATAGGACTTGTCATTTAACTTTTTCAAGCACGCTTAACATTTTTCTTTTTACCTAGTGCACTTAAACTTCTGAAAGGCATTTCACCTACTAGCATGCAATATTCTGGTTACAAAATCAATGCAATGTCTCTTGAATGAATTAAAAACTGGCTAGGTCATCTCAAAGAATGATGTGCCAAGTGGGGGTTTATGTTTCCAGGGAAGCTAATTCTAATGCTATAGGGGATTTTTTTTTTCCCTTGGCTCAGGTTATTTGGTATTTATTTCAGTAATCTGAAAGAAAATAAATAATTGATAGTTGTTAACGACAGTTCCGTTTTGACAGTGTGATCTGGCTATCTTGTCAATATTTGAAATATGTTCTTTAATGGAGCCATGTACAGACTTGTATATGTAGGTATTAGAAATAATAGTCTTGTTTGTCCTTTATCTTCTGTCATGGGAAAATAGGGACACTGAAAAGAACACTGACCCTGATGGGTGAGATTTAGAGGTGCACTGATACATCAGTCCAATATCGGATCAGCACCAATATAAAGAAAATTGGCTGTATTGGAAATCGGCCCGATGCGGCTGATAATTTAGCCGATAAGTGCCTGTGTGTGCGCACAACTGCAGCGCAGCATGCAGGCAGCAAGGAGCACAGTCGGGCAGCTTGTAGAGCTGTGTGCAACTGGGAAGTTACCATCCCACCTGGGCTGCTTCTGCCCCAACCCTTGCTCCAGTCCCTCCCTCACAATGCGGGGGTGTTGATCTGCCCCCGTACATGCCTTCCCTCCCCCTCTCCTTCCACCACAACAGGCTAACCAGCTGGATGCAGCTAGATCAGAAATCAGATTGGTATCGACTAATATGCCTCCTTAAAAATTGGCAATCGGCGCCCAAAATCTCTTTGTGCACCCCTACTGAGATAACTAACTATGATTGCTCTACTATAACGAAAGTAATAAGAACTCTTGGGGAGGCAATATCTTTTATTAGAACCATTAGATAATTGCAAAAAAAAGTCTTTATTTGTAAGTTTTCGGGCACATGCGCCATTCCTTGGGCATAGGAAAGTGCAAAGATTGTAAAATTTCTCCCAGGTGGAAATGAAAATTCATATTTCACAGGAGAGCTCTGTGAATTATGAGAGCAATTATTAACTTCATTGCTGAAAAACAAGAAAGATTTCTACACCTCCCTGCCTGCCATCTGATACTACCAGGGAAGAAATCCTACTTGTCTACACAACAAAGGACAGCTCACAAAGAGACTCTCATGAGCCCAGAGGGATAGTTTTCCAGCTTCTGCTTCCTCTGTGCAAAAATAAAGTTTATTTTTTTACCTTTGGGGACTTTTTATCATCTTAAACTTTCCCTGAGCCTGATGAAGGGTACATGAGCCCGAAAGCTTGCAGAAAAAGATACTTTTTGCAATTTCTCAGTTAGTCTAATAAAAGGTATCATTTTGGAACAAAGAGTTCTAGATTTTTGCATTTCTTTTTGTCTCAGACCAACACGGCTACCACATACATCCCTGCTGTGAAGTATGAATTTTTATTTCCACCTGGGAGAGATTTGACCCTTTGTGCACTCCTATGCCTGAGGAAGGGTGTGTGTGCCTGAAAGCTGGCAAATAAATAACTTTTTCTGCAACTGTCTAGTTGGGCTAATAAAAGATATCACCTCCCCAGGAGTTCTGATTACTTTTGCCTGCAGGCCAACACAGCTACAATTTATACCCCTATTATTACAAAGTGAGTCTTTGGATATATAAGCAGGGAAATAACCAATAGGCATAGCAAAGTTATATTACCATATTTATCTGAATCCAAAGCAACCTTGAATTTTTAATATGACCACCTCCAATACTTAGATTCTATATGTGGAAAACTTTTTTATAAATTTATTATAATTTTCCATGTATAGATGCTAATTATTGAGGGTTATCTTCAAATTCGTCTGCCTCACTGCTGCAGTGGGAAAAGCCATAATAGAGGGACAGGGGGAGAAGAGTCAAGCAAGCTGTCCCTTTGCTTCTCATACCCATACAGCTGCCCCTCTAGCACAGGGGTGGGCAATTATTTTGGGCAGAGGGC